AACTGCTTCCACTGATACCAGAACAATAACCCTGTGGAAACTGGTGTTTGGAGATATTAGAACAATCACATGAAGCAGAAGACTTGATCAGTGATTTACCTGCAACAACAGGTTCTTTCAGATCAAAGTTTAAGAAAGTCTCCTATTGTGAAACAAACGCTCCCACAAGCCTTCTGTATTAGTATAGTGCTGAAGAGTTACTGCTACAGCAATGTTTACACACAGACAGAAATTGTGCATGTGTTGGGGTATTTAGTTACCATTAAACAAGTACACAGTATTTCTATTAATTTTTTTTTCTGTATTTTCTCTTGTCAATAGTTGGTAAAGCTCTCCATCAGTGAAACGTATCAGCACAGTACCACTTCAGACTGACTGCAGTTATAGAGACAAGATAAATCTCTTCCGTCCCTCCTACTTTGTTGATACAGTAATTATCTATACAGAGCCATAAACATATACCAAGGATTTGCTGGAATGAAAATAATGATCATTGCTGGAATGAAAATAATGATCATTACTGGGTTTTTTTTATCGTTAACTCAACAGGCTCAAAAAGCTTGGAATTAATTCAAACAAAACCAGGCACAAAGCAACAGTTGCAGAAAGACAACCATTTACAAGTACAAAGAAGCAAATTTTTGAAGAGGAGAAGCCAGAGAAGAAGTGAAAGGGTGCCCTATGCATCGGGCACCAGGGAAGGAGCCGCTGATTTCTGAGAAGGTAAAGCAAACCAGGATGGTAAAGGCCAACGTGATTACGGGAAGTGCAAAAAGCAAGAGAGGAAAAAGGAAATGCATACTTTGGCCACAGGAAAAGACCTTATTAACTCTTCTCACCACCTCCAGCCTGCTCTTTTTTTTGTAACAACCTCCATTCTCAATGTGTGTTCACGTGACTTCAGAACTGTTCAAAGCTTTCCTTTCCCAACCAATAATGGTTTATTGAGAGCCCTAAGACACCGTCAAACACCAGTGATCTTCCCTTAAAGCAGCCTCATTTCTGAGAGCATAAACATTATATGTTAAAATTAAATACCGTGACATCAGGGACAAATACTGCCAAAATGTGCCCCAGCATTTGAGCTACTCCTGACCCAATTAGGAATGGATGAAAACCGTGGACTTGCCAATTATCTTCTAAGAGAACCTGGAAAGAGAATTCAGTTTCCTCATGGAAACTTTTTTTTTCCTCTCACTTTAGTGTAAAGTGCTATATTTGAAGTTACAGGGGTACATTTTTTTCTTCTTCTTGCCCGAAGGTCAACGGTCAAAGAATAAGCACGAAAATGATCCAACTCTATACAGCAGCTGGAACATGAAAATCTTTGAGCTGGTTGAGGGCACGTGTCAGATGCAGGGGAGAGAATGACATCCGCACAATAAAGGGAAAATGTAAGTGCATAACTGGCACCACAGCCACCACAGCCCATTGGGCGTCGGTTATTAAAATTTCCTAACTTTAGTGTCTTATTTCGCAGAAGCAAACTAGATGTATTATTCTCTGCAATCAGAAGCCTTGCTTCAGAAAGTCGCCGATTCAGCAGCAAGGCTGTTTTTACTAAAACAAAAGGAAGACCTCTATCATCCAAGGAGTTCCCCGTTTTGTGCACTAATGTATAAACTAAAATAATTTAGGGAGGTGGCGAACGAATGACCAACCAAACTGTAGCTTAAAAATGCTCCTAAAGGAAATCCAGATAATATTAAAAAGTCTAATCTAAATAGAAGTAGTGATTCAAAACTACCCTTTTAAAAAAAATATCCTGTATTATTAGCTACTATTTAAAGAATAACAATATTATGGCAGTTCATAGAAAATGTATAGGATTTAAAAGACTACAAGAACACAGCATGGTATAAAAGCCTTTGTACTTCTTTGACTTTTATTGACCTACATGTCAATTTACTCCTCCCCAAGCATTACAACCCTAGGTGAAAAAATCAAAGCAAGCCTCCTAGAAATGGATAAATCCAAGAGCTAAAGTGGAATGCAATTGTTATGCAGAAATTCATCAGCAATACAAAAAGGTGATCCACTTAAATCAAGTTCCTTTCCTGAAAATATATTAAACTTATATTTCAAAGAAACAGTAACATTTTATATTTAAAATCTGGCAATGAAATACTTAATTTTTATACTTCAGTTCTGATTAAAGCAGTAAGAAATGTACTCATATTTGAATAAAATCTAACCGTTTTGTATACTATCTTTCACAGTAGCTGAAGACCTACCTGAAAGTAGAGACCTTGGATATGCAATAAAAAAAAATAAATTAACCTTTCCAGTAGCAGTATAATAAATTGTTCCACAGTGCTCAGTCATAGCTGTCTTTATAGTAATATAGTAAGAAATACGTATTTTAAACATTTGCTACTCTTTCATATGGAAAAGAATTTAAGAAAGAATAACAGTGAGTACCTTTAATAACAGTGCTTTCACATCAATCACCAAATATTGAACAGATAGGTCCTTCAAACCAAGCTACTCGTATGTGATTAACACTAATTATTATTTAAATTTTTTGAAACACCCAGCAAATCTACTTTTCATTTAGCGAAGCAAAATGGCCTCTTCTCTTGTTTCATTGCACCTTCATTGTAATATAAAGCAGTCCTAAAAATTACTGATGTCAAACATGGTTCAAATTTAACAGGTTTTTAAAAAGCTATGTCTACATAAACTTATTAAATCACTGCCATATCTTTGTTAAGAGACTGCCAAATGTTTCACAAAGGACATTGGCCATTAGTCATGTTAGATGTCCAAAACACGCATTTTAGTAAACATATGCAAAGATTTAAAAAATTTTATTAAACATATGTGCCATAATTCCATAAGAAACACCAGTATTGTCTGTGGAGCTCACTGCAAAGACAAAAGTGAATTCTAATACAAAGACCAGAGAAGGAATGAAAAGCGATTTATTTTCCAAAATGGAAAAAATATGCGTCCTTGAAAACTCATGGATTCTTACCAGAGTTTAAATAAATGACAGCTCTTCTAGTCAAAAGCAACGGCATTTTCTTCCCTGATTTACATGCCATTCTCATGGCAGCAATGTTCAAATGACTGTATAGGGATATTCAAACTACAAAGAAAAGCCCTGTAAAAAGGCCAAAGTTTTTGCTATTCAGACTGTTCAGATTTTCCTAATAGCTGCGATAATTTCCAGCTTTCTACATAGCACCTGTAGCGGCATTATATATCCCATTGCAAAGAGAAAGCACAACCAAACTTTGGGCTCCAATCTTTGCCAGAAATGACCCACAACAGAACGAAATAGAAAGATATACTTACAAGGCACCTCCCAGATTCTCTGAATTTGCCTAAGATAGTCCCTTTACCTTTGTATTCAGTGTTATACAGAGCAATACACTAATTGTAATGAACGCTGGCGTGTAGACAGAATAATTCTATATAATTCTAAAACTGTTTTTTAACCTGAGTGCTGCAGCTCTGCCTTTGTACGCAGACACAACATCAGGAAGGCAGGTGAGAGGATGATACAACTTTGAAAAGGGACTCGCAAATAGCTATATAGACAAGATGCATCTGTCCTGGGCCAAAAAAAAAAAGCAAAGATAAAAACCAATCCCTTTAACAATTGAAGTCTTTGTTTACTCTTACAATAAATTAGGGAATAAAGGGCAAGGTTTAATTTTTCAGAAGCCACCTGAACATCCTCTTCTCAAGCGTTCTCACAAAGTATCTCTTGTTTTCCTTGGAAAACCATAATGGTGGAAATGGAGAAATAAGTCCTGGCTCTGCGATATATCCCTCCATCCTCCCCCAACAAGCCGTTTGTTTTCCAAAAGACTTACTTAAGCCAGATTTCGACAGAATCTGAGTCGTCCAAAGGTTTAAAAAAATTAATTTAAAAATTAAATATTCAATTTCACTTAGCTACACTTAGTTGCCAGTAAAAGACACACCCTACTAGTCTAGAGGGAAGTAAAGTGAAAATGCCTCAATGTCAGAGTCTTACATCTCATAGGGAAGGCGGTGGTGCGCGGAAAACATATGTCGTTCAAGATGCCTTACCAAAATGTCCAGGTTTGGTATAAAATAATCCATGCACGATAACTAATTCTAATGCTGATTAGTAAAGATTATTTTCTGAATACTCTTTAAACTACAAAGTCACCTTAATTTTTTAAATATTGCCATTACAGGCCTTTTTAATATAGGGTCTTAGGAAAATATACCATGCCATCCTTATAAAATACATTGAAAAAATGCAGTAAGATGTTTTTTGAACTGAAAACTCATAAAGATCATTTTCCATGCTGACAGTGTGCATTTCATCCAGAAGTTTGAAGAGTCAAATGCTACCCCAGCTGGGGGTTATTCTGCCAAATGGCTTCCAACAGTGACCACAGAGATGGAGGATGGGAGGGGTGCGTGTGTGTGTAGGAAAATAAACGTGATGGTAAGCAACCCCAAACCCACATCATCTTATCAAACATCCAACATACGTAGTCAAACACACAATGCAAATCTAGAATTCAAAACTGAAACAAAAAGACATGAACAAAATGAAATAAAGCCATTTGTGAGTTACCTGCAGAGATTTAAAACAAAAAAAGCATACGAGTGAAGCAGATATAATTCACATGGATTTGCCCAGGAAGGAGAAAAGGAGGGGTGAGTGTGAGGGCTGGGGGGGGGGACAAGAACAGATACCTTTTTTTCTTAAACAAATCCATCATGAAAGAAAATGAGACAAGATTATAAATAGGCCGAGTTATAGCGCACCATGGGATTTTTAATCTGGCTACCTGTGGTTTTTGCAGTTAAAGCCCTATTCAGCAGTGGGAAGGGAGGGGGGAAAGCGGAAAAAAAAAAAAAAAAGAAAAAAGAAAAACGAAATCACGTTTTAGTGCCAGTTTCGCAAATGCTCACACAGCGTGCATCACCAACAATGCTGGCAAACAGGAAACACTAATTATTAGCATTTTCTAATAAGCGTACGCCTTTCAAACATTATTGATCATTACCTGTCCGTCTCGTTTCCTGCATTCTTGAGTTTTACTCTCGTGCTCTGCCATGGCAGCGCGAAGCTGTTTTTCCAGTTTCTCGATTTCCCGTTCATGATCTCGGACCAGGCAGTCCTTCTCTGCGTTGTGCTGCTGGAATAGGTGCGTCTTCTCCTGTTCATGCTCCAGCTTCAGCTCCACTATCTGATTGGACAGTGAGGAGTACAGTTCATCAATAGAACATCCTTGTCGTCATGACAACTCGTCTACAGCTTAATTTTCCCCTTAATTTCATCAAGTTGGCAATTTTATTTTTACGTCACTATTACCTCACCTTTTAAAAAGCCACCGTTAGCGTGACAGAATTCCTCCAGACAATTCCAACAATGGAGACAACCGAGCAAATCCAGCGCATCCTTAACCAATTTGTTGGTACAAATGTCGGAGCGTACAAAAAAAAAAAAAAAAAATTGCATTGTCGCATTCTGTGTACGGTCCCCCTGTACCCTGCTGCTGCTTATCAGCAGGGCTGAGGATCCTAAATGGTTAATAGGCAGCCTGCTCTCCCCTTCGCTTAAGTATACACACGCAACCCCCCCACCCCAGCAATTAAATCTTTTAAAGATTTCTTTATGATTTCCAAAGCGAAAGCTCTTCCTTCAATATTCCTCAACGCTGCCGTATATAGTTGCCTTTTTTTTTTTAATAAAAAAAGAAAGAAAATTATAAAAAACAAAGCTCTATTATCCCGTTGTCAGCTACGCTATCCCAACATAAACAGATGTATGTGTTCCAGAAGGGCACCTGCTGTGCTGCAAGCTTGCACCATGATTTCATAAGAAGCCCTCTATTCTCAGGATCCTTTCCCAGTCCGCACCACACTGGATGCTGTGACCTTGGCCAGTCTTAGCCTCTCCCCGCTAGACTGAATGGCAGCCCGAGACCAAGGGCCTGGTTGCCGCAGCTTTGATACTAATCCTCCCCGCCTGCGCACAATGGCACCCTACCTGGCCTGCACACTGGAGCAGCCAGCCTGCCTTTGAAGCAGGTGATGAATAGGGACGGCAGGAAGCCGCTTCCCCACTGAACTCCGGGCCACACAGCTGCTAAGAACAGTCACTTGGATTTTTCTTCAGTTTTGGTGGATTTCGGAAAGGGGGGGGTGGGAAGGAGGGGGGAAAAAAAAAAAAAAGGGGGGAAAAAAAAGAAAAAATGCTCCTATCGTGAATATGGTGGGTTATTTTCAGCGTGAGAAAAAAAAAAAAAAAAAAAGGCGAACGGGAGGAGGCGGCTGTGTGTGCGCCGAGAGCGCCCCGGCACCTTATCTTAAAGCTGTAGCATTCAATTCTGGAATAATATTAGCTGTTTGCATGGCTTTTGGGTTTAAAATTTGAAGCAAAGTTAAAAAAAATAAATAAATAAAAGCACTTTCTCAAACTACGGATCAGCATATTCCGGGTTTAAAAGTAAAATATGTCACCCGTGCCGCGGCCGGGAGCGTCCTTCCAAAAACGGAGCAAGTAGAACAGATGCAATATTCTACGGTTTAACATAGCTACATTATTTAATAATACTCAAGAGCTTATTAACAGACATCCTGCAGGAGTTAACCCCCCAAGAGGCATACATTATCTGTACCGGGCCTGGGATCCTTACACGAAGTTCTTTAAGTCAGGTTTTTGCCCAAGGTTTGTGTACAAAACCGGTTTCTTTTCAGATGCTAGCAGTGTCCTTAGTGTGCCTAAATGAAACGATTCTTGCTCCCTAAAATAATTGTAAAGGCTTTGCCTGAGTTAAGGGAAAAAATGTTTAGCGGTTTTTCATAAATCAGACCTGATTAAAAAGAAACCATATCAAGAGAGGTCTTTTTATTCAAACATTTTCTTTTCTTAATTGCTGGATTTTCAGCTGGTTGTGCCATGTAAGGTCTGGGGTACAACAGTTTGTTGTGAGGAACTTCAATTATTGAGGTTTTCACTTTTTTAACTGAAGATGAGAAATGGCAGCAGACAGGGAATGTGTGCCCGAGAGGGGCAAGGGACAGATCCTGCTTCTTCAACCAGTTACACAATACACATGTACGTCTCCACTTTACCCAAAGTAATTAGTTTTACTTGGTAATCTCTTCACTTACAACATTTATATTACAGACAGAACAGTTTTGAATTTAAGAGGTGGAAAGAGGTAAAAGGGAACAGTCCTTCTGTATGCAGGAGGGGCATCCCCCCAGTCTGCTCAGTGGGAAGAGAAAGGATGGCAGTGTGAGGGGAGTTGTTTTACAAAAGGCAAATTTGTCGAAGAAAAAAACCTCACCGCTTAAAGCAAAGTATTCCCCATGATGTTTTGGGTTTGCTTTTTAGAGATTTCTGGTAGGGAGCAGAGGTGGAGAGACAGGGGAGGAAAGGATGGGAACGAGAGCCTTTTCTTCCCTCAAGTTCAAAGATGTAGAAAACCCATCTTCCCTAGTGAATATTAACAAGAACCCCACATTTGTAACCAACAAAACGTGCCTTCCTGTATAAATAACGTGAAGTGATGGAGTAGCCATTTGACTGCACTGGTGAACACTCACTGAACCTCCTGTTCTCCGAGCTGCTGCCAAGAACTACAGCTTCTCTTCCAATCCTCCCTCTCTCGTCCTTGTATTGTTGTTGGGTTTTTTTTTTAAAGGGGGAAAAATTAATGTATACCAACAAAAAGAAAAAAAAACCCAACCATGCTGTTTTTCAGCAACAACAGGACTTCATCACAGGAAGCTGCATGAACACTATATAAATTCTTCATAAATCAGTATGGATTCTGTCTCCTCTTTAAGGTAGAAAGCGCCTTTATGAGTGATGTAAGAAAACCACCTCCTTTAAAAATTGTATCGTGTTGAGATCTTTCTGCATCTACCCCTAGGATGCTTAGCACTTCATCAGATTACATTAAAATGTCCGCTCAAGTTCAGTACATAAGTGTCTAGAAGACAGACAGTTTTAGGTGCTATACATTTCAGACAAGCAACACGATATTCACAATGGGAATTAGGGGCGATGCTGAAAAGATACATTCATTAAATAATAGTGGGCGCCCCATTACCATAATCAGATCGTATTCATTGTAGCTTAGATGTTTTCTCATTTTGCCCTCCCAAAGATGAGATTCTCTTATTCTCTTCTCTGCGCATCTGTTCCTATCTCCAGCCGTGGCCTGGACACTAAAACAAGCAGGACTGTCTGACCCCATATAGCTCTTCTATACCGTGAAGTACTATTATTACGAAGTAGCACAAGTATTCTAAATTTATGATCTCCTCTTGCCTGAATCCTTCATTTTTTAATTCTTTCCACACCAGTATGATAGAACCATATTCAAGGCCATAGCCAATACCTGATTTAGTAAGCCATCACCAGAATTGCACCATTTATTTTTAAATCTCTGCTTTTACCTGAAATTTAACATTTCCTTACTCTCGCAGAGAAAAGAATTGAAAAAGATGACAAAATTCTTGACAAAAAGATAAAAAAGATTAATCCAAGAACTGTGACCACCTTTTGCTATTCACTAGCATAAATACACACATACACACAGACTGCCAAACAAATCTGGCAATGTCCATCATGCCCACCCTACGCAGGACACCGACAACCACAGCTGCTGATCAACGGTGGCCTTCTAACACAGGCAGATTTAACTGCAGCCAAACGTGGAGGTGCTTTAGGACAACCTGCTAAAATGAGAGACAATCCAATAAAGACCTAAAGTCAAATCGTGCTGCTGTTAGCGCTGGTTCAGTTTGTGCATCTGAAGAACAAAGATCTACAGTAAATAGCCTACTGATTGCAGAAGATATTTTCAGAAGCCAAATACTTGTAATATGATCAACGTCAGCAAATACCTTTTTAAAGTCCCTAATATAGACAAGACCTTCTACTATCCAGTTTTTGCTTTTACATCACACACTAAGTTTAGGCTTTTCAATTTTAGAACAATTTCAACTTGTTCTCAAGAACAAGTATGCCTTTGAAATTCTTTTTATAGTCCCCAAAGGAGGGAAAGGAAATTAGTTAGCTCACTACCTCTTTGAAAAATGTAGCTGCTACAATAAACATTTGACACCAAAGTATGAAAATTCATGCAAATTTATGTCCACAATTCCAGAAATATTGTAAGTAACACCTATATAAAATATAGTTTTGCACGGCAGGATGATTTTATTAGCGCTATTTTGGCATGACTGAACTTCTGAGGGCTGGAGAAGCCACCAATGAGTTACACATGTCATGGCAAAGAACTGAACTAAACTCACTCCTACAGCATGCATATAGCATGTCTATTTTTCAGCAATTCCATCTTATAAGCATTTAAGAGTGTTTGTAAATCAGGTGTCTTCATTATCATTGCTCTGCTCAAAACTAGTCCTAACCTCTGCCCAGCATAGTATATAATAGATGATCTATCCCCAAATTACAACTCTGGTAAAATCTAGCATTTTCTGTCTCCTAAGCCTATAAATAAATGTGCGTGTTTCATGAGGATATGGGGATTACCCATCTCTGCAAATACACTGCTTTTAAAAGTAATCAGATATAACAGGCTGGAGGATCGAGTATTAATCATGCTGGGCTCTGGCTTAGCATAACTTTGGGCAGAAAAGAGGAATCTTCACTGCAAGGCAAGGGAGCATACCAGAACTACTTTGCAGCAGATGAATTAAATGGATTTTAAAAGTACACATTTTTTGAGATTTTGCTATAATTTGGAACACAAAGTACTCCCAAGATAAAAGGGCTGTAATGAGCCAAGGGCAAATGGGACAGTGAAAAATACATCAGTGCAGAACCACATATTACCACCGAAGTAGCAAATGCATATAGGGTAATGTACACGCATAGCGAATGCATTTTACTTTCTATTTCATTGCAGGCTGCAATAATTTAATTGGCATGACTGTGTTCCCTGTTATACTTTACCTTATAATCAACCACTAATAACTGTATTTCAAATGCAAACTAAGAATTGCAAGAAATTCTCTAGAAGAGATAAGCTGGTCTATTATCCATACTGCAGTTTGATTTATCCTCTCCACTACAACAATACACCTGAGCAGTCTCACCATGTATATAAAACGATATGCCTGATCTGTAAATTTTTACTTACAAAGGCCTTCCAGAATGTTAATATTTTTAAAGTATGGGCAGCACAAACCTCACCTCAATCCT